ACATTACCGAACCAAGGTCGTTTAATCGGCGTCCTGAACGGAGCTCCAGGAATGCGTTATAGAAGGCGCTGGGGTTGTCCAAGAGTGCGAGAGGACGCAGGAATTGGGCAGCACTCTCCACCACTTGTAAGATGGCGTCCAGTACCCTCAAGACTCTTCTTTATTGTCTCGATTATGTGCCCCACAACCTAAACTGGAGTGGTGATGATGAGCGCGTACAGATGAAAAGAAGGAACGAGTAATGATGCCCACAATAAATAATAATATATATATATATATATATTGCAAGATAGTTTAGTAGCAACGCCAGATAGTAGGCAACCAGCCGGTACGGACAAACAAACAGTCCAGCGTCTACAGCTCGTGCACACGCTCGCACCTCACACCAAGAGATGGCCCCACTGGTTATTGTCTTGCGAATCCCCCTCTACAATACCCTGGTGATGAAAAGGAGCTATCCTGGCGACTGAACGTGACGACATAAGAGGCGGGTCATAGCAGGGCTTGAGGTGACTGACGTCGACCGCCCCAGGGCCAAGGCGGCACTTGTACGTGGACGGTTCAGTGGTTCAATCACATAGGGGACAAAAAAGGGGCGCTGTATGACGCGATCAGGGGCCAGTATATTTCGATGCAAACTTGGGAGTCAGTCCAAGAGAGTGGAAAGGCCGTCAAAGTCACATGAGAGAACCGACGGGAGAAGTGTCCTCAGTGAGATCACGGTCATGGCGGTCGTCTTGGAGGGCTTGATTTTCGACTGTGACTGACCGTGAAAGTTCACGACACTCTACGAAATGTTCGGCCATTTCAGAAAATGGGCAGAACTCGGAGGAATCAGGATCGTATGGCAGAATTGTTTCGAGTGTGCTGCATGTGTCACGGCCATACAATAGAAAAAATTGATTGCCGTATTGCCGTATATAAGCGTACGTATGTAAGCGCCGTATTGTAAGCGTACGTCTCGAAAGGAAAAACGATGTCCTAACTGGAGTGGTCGGAATCAATATACATAGCGAGCATCTCTCCCAGGGTTCTTTTGAAATGTTCCGGCACGCCATTCGTCTGAGGGTAGTAGGCTGTTAATGTGCGGTGTACCGCTTGGCGTAAATGTAAGAGCTGCTGCAGAACTTCGGACAAATACGCGATCTCTGTCACTCAGTAGCTTGCGTGGTGCACGACGACGGATTACGAACTGATGCAAGATGAACGTTGAAATGTCACGAGCACCAGCCGAAGGTAGCGCTGCCATTTTGGCGTACCTTGGCAGATGGTCGGCGGCCACAATCAACTATTGATTACCACCAACAGAGAACGGTAGCGTGCCGTATAGCTCAATTCCAACACGGTCAAATGCGCGTGCAGGAAATGGTTAAGGCTGCAGTTTACCGGGCGATTGAGGAAATGTCTTCCGCTGCTGACACAAAAAACACGAGCGAATGTGGTTGTGTAGAAATGTTTACATACCCCGCCAGTAGTTACGTTGGCAGATCCACTCGTACGTCTTTAGCACACAGGCGTGTACATGTTGCGGTTCAGCATGAAAATATTCACAGATATCAGACCGCATATGGCTGGAGAGTCATTTACGACCCGCCATTTGATAGTTGCGATGGCATAGCAGGCCATCCCGTATGGAAAATTGCGTAGCTTGGTGGCGAAAAGCACACGGGTAACCGGAAGTTGATGTGTCAGGGAGCACATTTAAGAGCGAGACAATTCAAGGGTCTTTAAGCTGTTCAGATGGCATGTCTGTGACGCGGACGGCATAGAGGGGAAAGTGAAGGGCTGATAGTTTCGATTCATTCATGGGTGATCCTGAAAGCGCATCTTCGTCAAGCGTGCTTTCGCCCCGATCGGTAGACGACGCGAATGTCGAATTCCTGGAAGCGTAGTGCCCAATGTCCATGGTGACCTGAAGGATCTCTCAGTGAAGCCAACAAACAGAGTACGTGATGGTCAGTTACCACCTCAAAAGTTTGGCTGTACAAATAGGGGCGAGACTTGTTTAACGCCCGCACAATCGTGAGGCACTCTTTTTCAGTAACAGAAGAGTTGGCCTCTGCCTTGGCGAGTACGCGGCTCCGTAAAACCTTATTTGGGTTGCGCGAGTACTGCACCAAGGCCGACGCCACTCGCATCCGTCTGTACTTCGGTCAGCGCAGTAGGATCGTAATGGCACAGTACGAGTTGTGAGTAAAGAGTTCGCGCAGCGTTGCAAAAGATTCGTCACAGTCTGCTGTGCAATTTGAAAAATCTGCAGGGCCAGCAGAGAGCTTGGTGAGCGTAGAGCAATGATGGAAGAAGTTCCGGACAAACCAACGAAAACAGAAGCACAGGCCCACAAAGCTCCGTAGTTCTTTAACTGTTGTCTGCTTAGGAAATCTCGGCAATAGCATAATATTTCTCAGGGCAGGGAAGGACGCCGGCTTTGGAGACGACATGACCAAGTATGGTAAGTTGTTTAGCCCCGATGTGACATATTTTAAGGTTAACCTGAAGCTTTGCGTTTGTAAGGCACTGTAAAATCTTATGCATACGAGTGAGATGCAAACTGAAATCGGGTGAAAACAGCACAACGCCATCAAGATAGCACAAGCATATGTTCCATTTGAGACCGCGTAAAATGCTGTCCACCAGTCGCTCGAAGTGAGGCGGGCGTAATGCAGAGTCCGAATGGCATTACGGTAAATTCATAGACGCCATCCGGTGTTACGAACCCTGTTTTCCGACGTTCCGACTTAGCCATTAGGACCTGCTTATAACCGGAGTGGAGGTCAAGTGAGGAAAATAATTCTCCACCTTGAAGACAATCGAAAGCGTCGTCTATGAGGGGGAGATTCGAGGGTAAACATCTTGCCTCGCAATGTTGTTTAGGCGACTGTAGTCTACGCAAAACCACATGAAACGATCTTTTTTTGACGAGTACAATTGGGGAAGACCAAAGACTACAAGAAGGCTTGATGACTCTGCGCTGTAGCACGTCGTTCACGTGTTCCGTATATACGCGACCCCCGCCGGTGACTCACGACAGAGGCGCTGGCGCAAAGGAATACTCTTCTCCGTGTAAAATGGGTGAACAATGGTGTTCGTTCTTCCTAACACCGCTTTGGGAAAGTCAAACCAACGCCTGCATTCATGCAAGGTAAGAAACTGCTCTCGTTGAGCCGGGGCGAGATAGTTGTCAATAGAACGGCAAAATGCATCAAAATACACGCTGCCCGAAGCAAGGTGAGGAACCAACGCGTTCAGCTCCAAGTACGGCTTGGTGTCGGAGAAATCGGCAGGCACAATAATACCTTCATTGATAGGTTGAATGTGGCCGAGCGTCTCGTTGCGGCGCCAAGTGAGGGGGTATGAGGTGGGACTGGAAATGAATGTTCTGGTATAGTCTTGACAAAGTGCTAAAACTGTGAATGGCAGCGATGTGTGGTGGCGGCTACTGAAGATGTCAGATGGTGTGAATAGGATGGTAGCGTCAGAAAGTGAAGCACAGTAGGCAGAAACAAACTGGGTGGTGAAGGAGGAAGGTCAATGCCCGTCGCGACGACAAGGCCACACTATATAGTCAGTAACAAGCTAAAATAAGAAGTGTACCACTGTCCATTTGTATTATGCGCGCCCTACTGCAGCCGCTCATTACTGTGACGTGGCACTCACGATGAACCAATGACAAATTCAGCATGGGGCCGTTCGCAACAAGAGGCGATACGCAGCTGCACCTGGCTGCACCACGACCCTCGGGCGTCCATTCGGATTTTAGTAGTGTGTTCTTCGTCAAGAAGAAGCTATTTTATCCACTCGCCCTCAGCAACAATGTCGTCGCCAGCCATTCGATGCTGGCGTTTATGATTTTGCAGCATTCATGTGCACCGAAGCGGCAGATCTTAACTATGTTCCGTGGGTTCGACAGCGTGAAGCAGCAATTGGCGTCGATTCTCTGCGTCACTAAAATAACCCCTCTCGACTATTGTCGTCATGGTCATTTGTGTGCATTAGGGTGAAGGTGAATTCTCAATGTGCTTGTCTGTGTTCTGTGAAATGTGCGTGTCTGTGATTTACCGCACGCAAGAGGTGTGGCATCAGTGTTACCGCATGTGCATGTGTGAGTGTGCTACTTGTGTGTCACAACGTCAGAGTCATTGTGACTGTTTGAAATATTTGCTGTGTTGTGCACCCATATGAGTGTTGCAAGTGCGGGTGAGGTGTGAGAAAAAAGCAACAAAAAGTACCTTGCCAGGGTCACACAGTACGAAAGTAAACAAACCAGGTGGGGAGAATGTGTGTTGATTGATGCATTAACGCTTTATTTGCATCTCTCTGCAACTGGTGCCATTCCTGGCAAATGAACATTTCCTACAAAAAAACTGTGTTCATGTCCTTTACTACTAAATTAGTTCTTTCAGATTTCAACTACTCATTTAATGGACTGTCTTTGCTGAGAGTTTACCAATATAAATACCTTGGCGTGCATTTCACTCGTAACCTTTCCTGGTCTCACCATATTCATTACATTACTTCTAAAGCGCTGAAAAAACTTTGTTACCTCCGGCGTACACAATCTGCGGCTCCTAGCGATACAAAACTAACTGTGTACAAGACCCTTATCCGCCCCGTGCTCGAATACGCGTCACCTGTATGGAACCTCTACAACCAGTGCGAAGTAAAACAAATAGAATCGGTACAGAAAAAGGCCATTAGATTCATCTTCAGGCGTTTCGACTCTGCTTTTTCACCTACGTCAGCATTACCATCTTTGAACCTATCTCTACATTCATCGCGAAGGAACATTGAGTCTCTCAAGTTATTGCATTCTATAATTTATTCGACGTGCAAACTTTCAAATGAGCTCTACTTAACATGTTCCAGACCTTCTTCAACACGCCAATACCATCCTTTGAGTCTGACACCATCCTACGCCCGTACTAACACGTTGTTACGTATTCGGCGGCTGGACGACAGCCGGCCCAGGAAAGAGACGACTCAAGCAGTGCCAGGAAGACAATATGACCGTGCGAAACGTGTCAGTGCTGTGCTTGGAGACCTGCCCACGTGTTGGCTACCTGTTACCACCTCCAGCCGTTCATGAAGCGTCATCCTCTTGAACGCCTTCCGCTAGGGGTAGCTTTGGCCGAGTTGTAACGTTTGCAGTGCTCGCCCTCTTTCTACGTCGGGGCTTTCTGATAACATTGCCCGATTGCTGTTATCTTGCTGTTTTCTTTTCTTTCGTGCCAACCTGCGATTGGCTGCGTAGCGCTTAAAAACGCGCCGCAAGGTGAATAAACTGGGATTGTCTTCCTGGCACTGCTTGAGTCGTCTCTTTCCTGGGCCGGCTGTCGTCCAGCCGCCGAATACGTAACAGCTGGTGGCAGCGGTGGCGGCGGTATGGAGCGCACGTCGAAGGCGGCCTTGGCGTCCGGTTTGGTGAGAGCACGGCTTGCTTGACTTCATTGGGAGCATTAGCAGCATTTACTTGGTAGTCGAGGTTCTTTTGTATTTGTTGTTGACTTTGCTAAATAGTAGTACATATCAGGGTAGCACTTGTTAACTGCAGTCATGATCCTCACGTCGTTAACGAAACCCAACCTAGTGCTGCTAGCTGAAGAGCTCGGTATCCCTGTACAGAAGTCTATGCGGAAGCCTGCAATTATCGAAGCGATATCCAAATGCGGAGCAAACGACGACGAAGTCGAGGAGTGTTGGAGGGCAGTCTCGGAAAAAGCTCAAAGAACGAGAAGTAGAACTGAAGTTAAAAGAGATGCAACTGCATAACCTTGAACGCAATGACAGTTTCGATATGCGAGGATACATGCAACCTTTCAAGGCTGGCAGTGACATCACTTTGTATCTCGTCAACTTTGAGAGGACGTGTACAAGAGCTGCACTTGCAAAAGAGACTTGGTCGCAACGCCTGTTGACATTACTTCCAAATGAGGCAGCCGATGTAATCGCGAGAATGCCAGATGAAGATGCTCATGATTACGAAAAAGTGAAACTTCATTTGAGGCGAAGGTACAGCTTGTCAACAGAAGCCTTGAGGATGAAGTTCCGTAACACGAGGCGTGGCCAAGGGGAGTCATTTTCAGAATTCGCCTACAAATCCATGAGCTTGTTAGAGGAATGGCTTAAGAGTGCCAACGCATACGAGGACAAGCAACGTCTGATTGAACTGTTTGCGCTCGAGCAGTTTTATGCGTCCATTCCGGACCAAATGCGGCTGTGGATTCAGGACAAGCCAAACGTAGAGACTTTGCAAACGGCAGCCAGCTTGGCGGACGAGTACCGTTCCCGTAGAATGGAAAGTTCGGAAGAACAAAGAAAGAAGCCGTCAGGAGCGTTCAAGAAATTTCAGAAAGGAACGAAAGAAACTAACCAAGGGAAACCAGGCGACAGTGTTCCAGCCCAAGGGCATGCAGCCAACGCGAGTGAACCGAAAAGTTCCAAGTTCGAAGAAAAACAACCGCTGGTCTGCTATAAATGCCAACAACCGGGTCACATCGCAGTCGGTTGCCGACAGCCAGCAGTTTCCGTCAATTTGCTAACCGAAGAGAGCGATTTACTCTTGCCCTACACATATGACATGAAGGTGAACGGCATCAGTTGCAACGTTCTGCGCGACACAGGAGCAACATTTGATATCGTCCACCCGTCATTTGTTAAGCCCGAGAACTTAACAGGTTCATGTGTATGGGTACGCCAGGCACTAGAGCCAGACATGAAGTGTTTGCCGGTAGCCAGAGTCGAAATGAAGGGCGCCTTCGGCACATTCGAAACTGATGCTGCGGTTTCCGATAAACTTCCTCAGAAAATTCCCTACATTTTTTCTAACCGATCAATGAGGGACTTCCAAAATGCAGGACTGGAACTTAATGCTAACCCTGTAATGGTCGTCACGAGGTCCCAAACAAGAGCTCAAGCTACCAGCGCTACCCGTAACACGGAAATTACAGACCAGAGTGAACCGACACAAGCTACTGCACCAAGCGAAACTGTTCCTGTCGACGCCAATTGTGTCGCGCCAGCCTTTGATAGCAGCACTCCCGTCGGTAATGCGCTCCCAGGTGAAGCGATAAACCCAGTCAGTGAAAATTTTCAGCTTCTAGCAAAGTTAGACAAAAGCGCTCTCAAAATGGAGCAGGCAAACGACGAGTCGCTGAAGACGTGCTGGGAAAAATCAAAACGGAAACAAAAAGGAGCCGTTGTCGCTCATAGTCAAAGAAGGCATTTTGTACAGAATATTCAAAAACAAGAAAGGCAGAACCTTTGAACAGCTTGTCGTTCCCAAAAAGTATCGAGTCGCACTTTTGGGTTTGGTTCACAGCGATAGCTGGGCTGGCCATTTAGGTATCAACAAGACCAAGAGCAGGTTATTGAACGACTACTACTGGCCGATGTGCTTCAAAGAATCGGAGAACTGGGTACGTTCCTGCAACGTTTGCCAAAGGACGGGGCGGCCAAACGAAAAACTCAAAGCACCTTTGGTCCAAGTGCCTTTGATTGGCGAACCCTTTCGCAGATTAGTTGTCGACATTGTAGGTCCATTACCAGTAACAGCGGCGGGCAACAAATACTTGCTAACACTCATTTGCCCTGCTACGAAGTTCCCGGAAGCAGTGGTATTACCCGAATTAAGCTCCACTGCAGTTGTAAACGCGCTACTCGGCGTCTTTGCAAGAATTGGATTTCCTAGTGAAATCCAATGCGACCAAGGTTCTGTGTTCACAAGCGCGCTCACCACGACGTTCTTGAAGAAATGCGGCATATCCGTTCACCACAGCTCAGTCTACCATCCGCAAAGTAATTCAGTCGAGAAACTTCACTCTGTAATGAAGCGCATTCTGCGTGCACTCTGTTTCGAGAAAGGCGCCGACTGGGACGAAGCTGTTCCCGCGATGCTCTTTGCTCTGCGCTCCGTCACTCACGAAGCGACTGGGTTCACGCCGGCGGAACTTGTTTACGGTCGAGCGCTTCGCTCCCCGCTAACGTTGTTGAAAGAAAAGTGGGAAGACAAGTTCGTAGACAAATCAGTTGTCGAGTACGTGCTGACCTTGTTGAAGCGCCTACGTGAATCGCAAGAACTGGCGCAGATAAACATGGCAGAAGCGCAGCAACGCTCAAAGGTGTACTACGACAGATCCGCACGCACACGAACCTTCAAGGAAGGCGATAAAGTGCTGATTCTGCGGTCGTCAAAGGCAAATAAACTGGAAGTAGCATGGGATGGCCGGTCACGATTAAACAAAAGCTCTCCGACACCAATTACTTGGTAACGACGCCCGGTAAACGCAATGATGTGACGATATATCACTGCAATCTAATGAAGCCTTTTATCGAACGCAGTGAGACGTTGAGCATTGTCCTTAACGAGCCTGAAGAGATCAACGTTCCTCTACCCCAAGTGCCAAGCCCCTGCTCTTCCCCATCAACAGAAGAGATAGTCCAATCTGTCACTAAACAAGCTTCTCTAACTGACAAGCAAAGAAAGGAGTTAGAACTGCTTGTGCGCAACTTCAGAGACTTGTTTAGTCCCACTCCCGGCAGGACAAATCTCGTGGAGCACGACATTGAGTTAACATCCAACCAACCTTTCCGAACCAGGATGCACAGATTTTCCCCCCGTCACGAAAAGATCCTGAACGATTGTGTTCAAAACATGTTGACACTGGGTCTAATCGTGCCAGGAGAAAGCGAGTATGTGTCACCTATGTTTATTGTAGAAAGTCCAGGCAAGGAACCGCGACCCTGCATCGATTATCGAAAATTGAATGCGATAACAAAAACAAAGATGTTTCCCATTCCAAACGTTGAGGGCTTGATCGAGAAAGTGTCCGCGGCACGGTACGTTTCTACGTTAGATTTGGTACGCGGTTTCTGGCAAGTGCCACTAACGGAAAACGCCAGTAAGCTCGCCACTTTCATGACACCGACAGGCACATATCGCCCTCTTGTGCTCACTTTTGGCCTCAAGAATGCACCCTTCGCATTTTCAAGGTTAATGCATGAAGTGCTCAAAGGAGCCGAGTCGTTCGCTGTTCCGTACCTTGACGACATAGCTGTTTTTTCGAGCACCTGGCAACAGCATTTGGAACATCTGCAGCAGGTATTCCTTCGAATACACGAGGCAGGCTTGACTCTCAAACTCGCCAAATGTCGTCTTGCGAGCTCTGAAGTCCACTACTTGGGGCATGTTGTTGGCCAAGGGAAGCGACGTCCTTCCGAAATAAAAGTTGAAGCAATCACTAGCTTTCCTTTGCCGAAAACAAAGACTAACTTGCGTTCCTTTTTGGGTCTAGCCGACTACTACAGAAGCTACATTCCCAACTTCGCAAATATCGCTAGTCCTCTCACAGACGCACTGCGCAAAACTGAGCCAACTATTGTAAGTTGGAATAAGGCTCGTAAAGATGCTTTTGCTGAGATCAAAAAGATTCTTGTCAGCAAACCGGTCCTCGCGGCACCAGATTACTCTCTCCCCTTCTTAGTTCAGTGTGACGCCAGTGACCGCGGAATGGGCGTTGTTCTAAGTCAAGTGAACAAAAAGGGCGAGGATCATCCTCTTGTCTACGCCAGTCGAAAACTAACATCACGCGAGCAAGCCTACAGTACAACTGAAAAAGAATGTGCTTGCTTAGTCTGGGCTCTCGAAAAGCTGTCGTGTTACCTCAAAGGCTCCTCATTTGTTTTTGAAACTGATCACTCACCTTTAGTGTGGTTAAATCAAATGTCGAACAAAAACAGCCGCTTGATGCGTTGGAGTCTAGCACTTCAGCAATTTGATTTCTCAGTGCGGCACAAGAAAGGCAAACACCATGCTAATGCGGACTGCCTTAGCCGAACCTATTAAGTGTTTTCTTGTTTCTTTTGTGTGCATGCAACTTGGCGCAAGTATATATTTTTTTTTTTCCTTATCGTGTTCGGCTTTCACGTTATCTGCTCCCAGTGAAATCAACTGTCGGGCTTTTCTAAGCTTGGGCGCCAGGTTGCTTTTGACGTAGTTTCTGCGTTTCTACCGCTCGTCCACTCAGCCATTTCAGATCCTGTCGTACCAGATGGCGAAATCAACCCTGCTCCAGGCGCCTGCAGCCAACTCCCGTGCTGCAGCCAATCGACACTCGGCGAGTGGTGCCCGTTCTGAACATTGCCTGTTCTCGACATTGCCTCCTCTTGGCCTTTAATGCCAACCTTCGCGGGCGTGTTCCAGCCAGACGACGCGCAATGCCATTTCCATTTCCTTCTGCGGTGGCTACTTCAACGACCAGTGCCACCATGCACCTCAGGGTCTTCGCCCACGCCGTGCACAAAGACAATATGACCGTGCGAAACGTGTCAGTGCTGTGCTTGGAGACCTGCCCACGTGTTGGCTACCTGTTACCACCTCCAGCCGTTCATGAAGCGTCATCCTCTTGAACGCCTTCCGCTAGGGGTAGCTTTGGCCGAGTTGTAACGTTTGCAGTGCTCGCCCTCTTTCTACGTCGGGGCTTTCTGATAACATTGCCCGATTGCTGTTATCTTGCTGTTTTCTTTTCTTTCGTGCCAACCTGCGATTGGCTGCGTAGCGCTTAAAAACGCGCCGCAAGGTGAATAAACTGGGATTGTCTTCCTGGCACTGCTTGAGTCGTCTCTTTCCTGGGCCGGCTGTCGTCCAGCCGCCGAATACGTAACAACGTTTAAATTTAGCTTCTTTCCAGGAACTGTTGAACTTTGGAATAACTTATCCGGTGACATACGTTCTTTGCCCTTAAATGAATTCTTGTTATCCATAAATACCCTTTGACAGTTTGTCTTTTTTCTTTTCACTGTTTACTGTGTTTACTGTGTTCTCTTCCTTGCCACTATGTCTTCATTATGCCACCATGTGATGCCATGTATTGCCACTTTGTATGTTGCTTTCCTTTGCAAAGTATTACACCATGTCTGTTTTGTACCGGCCTGTTACCCACTCCTGCCATAGCCCTTACGGGTTGCAGTATGTAAAAATAAATAAATAAAAAAGCGAATTGTGGTCATCGTGTGAGTGTTGAAATATTTTGACGTGTGCCAATTGGCACAGCTGCGTCATTTTACCAGAATCGATTGCCACTGGCTCATAATTACGAGTCAGAATGAAGTGTCTGTTGCGTAAGCGCTTGTTTCATATTTGAAGTATATGAATGCCTTGCATGAAAAACGCCGTGCGAGGTTCTTCAAACCGGGAAACGACGCGAGCTATGTAATATCGCTGCGTCAGTCGTTATCGACACAGCGATCTTGATGGATCACGATCGGTTACATTGATCATGATCGTCACAGAAGCGACGCTGCTAAAACTACTATTCAGCGAAAAAAAAGAGAGAAACATTTCGTTTATTCCTTAACGATATCACATTAGGAAGTCTTACTTTTTGTATATATATATATATAATATATATATATATATATATATATATATATATATCTATTTACGTTTGCCTGCATAACGCACGAAGATAACTCCTTTATATTAAATTACAGTACCATAAAATAGAAGATAGACGCAGTGCACTCTCCTGTCAAAGCAAAGTCTGGCCCAATATTCACTCGCATTCCCCGGAGAGAGAAAACCCCTTGCCTGCAAAAACACACCCTCATTTAGGTTAGTGGCCCCTGTCACCGCAAACTATGCCCTTTTTTCAGAGTTGGATAATAAAGTGCTGATGGGTTGATATCAACGCCATGGAGCACGTCCATGCGAGTTGTCGAAGCGAGAAAAAAATGGCAGCATATGCATGGAGTGAATGATGGAAAGTGGGGTGAAACATCCGTCCGTCCATTCGTTCTTACTTCCGTCCATTCATGCATGCGTCTGTGTGGCCTCCCGTGTGTGCATCGAGCCGTCCGTGCGAGCGTCTGTTCGTGCGGCCGCACGTTCATCTGTGCGTCCGTCCCTGCTTTCGTCCAAGCATCCGCTCCTGCGTCCGTCCATGCGTCCATCCGTCCGTGCAGCCATCCGTGCGTCCGTCCATGCATCTGTCTGTGTGTCTGTTCGTCCACCTATACACCACTCCAAGTGCCAGCCATTGGCATGTAAATTGAGCACTATCTTAATTGTTCAACAACGCACAGAAGAAATCTCTCACCGGCACCACCTTGGAGGTGAAAATGTTATACTTGTTACACACTACTACAACGGCTATGAGGGACGAACGGATGCCGCTATAAAAAGCTTTGCGCCTAAAAAACTTCGCCTAGAGCTTTTAGTCATCGCCACTTCAGCCGCGTACATCTTGGCCTATTGACAACGTATTCAATGATCCCCGCTGTTAAGCACAACGTCTGCAACGTGCTTTTATTTCGGTGAAACACGACGTCGAATGAAACATTGGTGTTCACCTCAAACACGAAGACAAGCACGGCGACGCGAAACGCAGATTCGGTGTTTAAAGCAGCACAAAAATCAAAATTCGCGAAGTCAATGAGATCGCTTTGAGTCATAGTTGCCATAGTTACAGAAGACAGCGAAGTAACCTGGCAGCAAAAGTTTCGTAAAAAAATTGCAAACAACCTAATGGAATGTGAATATTGCCCTTGTTTCATTCTGTGAAACCACAACAGAAAAATTTCTTAATTTTAAACATTACGTGAAAAAGGGAATTGTTTGTTTAGTAACACCTTAGGTACCGCGCACACACATCGCCTTAGAGAGATGTGCAATGCTTCTTCGTGGACTCCGATATGAATGCTGTAAGGGGTGCGATTAAAAAAAAGATCTATTGCTAAGGTGACGCAAAAGTCCACACCTGCTTACATATATATCGAGCTTCGGATTGTGTATTTCAACACCAATCAAATATTGTGAGATAATTGTTGCATGCGAGAAAATTGGGGCCACTGGTTGGAAAAAACTTCCTTTGTAGAGCGGAGGCATAGAAAATAAGGCCAATAAGGCCTCGTGGGTGGAGCCTATATTTATTTTGAGGTTGTCACTGATTATAGACGCGGCCGCATCAACCGAAGGCGCATCAAGAAACGGTAACAGCTCTACTTCGACACGAGCGCAGTCCACGACGGCGCGATGACGTGTGATAAGAAATGCCATCCTAGGTTCACACCATGGCAACACGAAGCCAACACGTGAAATTCAATGGTGCACAACACGTCTCGAATTATCACTTTTGCTGTACATGCCGCAACGGGCTCAATTTGTTGGGCGCTCGTAGTGCTAAGGGAAACCACGGAAAAAAGCATCGTCCCTTTACATAGAGAGCGGAGAGACTGACTTATCACATAACGCGGCAGCAGTATCGATGAGTGCAAGTGTTCGTACACCTTCGACGATTATATCAATAAAACTGGTAGGCAACAGGCGAGGACTTAAACGATTAGACGATGAAGCAGCTAGTGCCTCTGGAGCTGCGGCTACCAACCGCATCACGTGGGTAGCACTCACAGTCGTTCGACGATGAACGACTGCAAGTGCTACCAACGTCACGCGCGTTCGTGCCGAGTTCGAGCGACGCCGACAAGTCCAGCGAATGCCGGCCGGCTATACTTGCGCCGGTCCTGAGTGCGATCGTCCTCTGAGCGAAAATATCGCACAGACTACTGGAGCATGTCGGTGTTCTTGTGCTTTGATCTGTGATTTTCTGTGCTAAAAACGAGTGTAAACAGACTTCGTAGGCTCAAAGCTTTGAGCGTGAGCCCTCACCTACCGCGGAGGCAATTCGGAGCGGTGGCATCTGCATCGAGCATAGGCCTTTACCGTCTGGTTTGTATGAACCAGCACATTCTAGGAACATCGGATGAAAAAAATCTACGGTAGTTTCTGTCGCAACATAAATTACGATGCCTGAAACATTACGTAGTGCATACGGATGAGCTTTTATCTGGACTGTGTGTTTTTCAACATCGGTAATCATCATCGCTGAAAGTGAGCCTCGCACTAGCCAGCACATTTCGATGATGTGAAATCGTGCGTACCTATATAAGTGTATTCACGAATTGTGTGACGCTGAAACATTTGTTGGCTTCAGTGCAAATTGTTTTCGTTGTGTGCCAAGCCAATAACAAGAGTGCGCTGTTTGGTAGCAGTGTGATCTGATTTCGTGTCGGGTACCAGTGACGCTGACACATTCAGCTGTCAGCGGTCTCATGTCAATTCATGTACGAGATAGAAACTCGAGCGTGCGTTGCTGTGGTGTTCGAAAATGAAAGTTGCATGATTAAGTGCTTCTGCTATTGCCTGCTGTTTCACTTCTCGCTTGTTCTACTTCTCTGCCACGCTCAGTAGCACAAACGTTCTTCGGAGGCACACACATTCATAATTTATAATTCATTCTGATGCCCATAGCTATAGGAATACAATGGCGCTTATCTGTCGTTTTACAGTTTACTATATTATAACACGCGTTTGGTTTACAGCTGGGCAGATAACTGAAAACCTTGTGAGAAGTAGCTGAATTGAAATCAGCGGCATGATGACACAATATAAGGATGAGAAGGTCACCACATGTATGCACAGAATGAATGAAGGTGCACTTGTACTGCACTGCACTTTGTATAGAATAAATGCAAAAAGTATCTCATGTGAATTATGAGACCTTTCAGAACTGTGCATGTATTTATCTGCTCCTACAGACTGCAATGAGCAGAAGATATTATTTGATGATTTCGAACATTGAATCTTTGTATGTGTTTCCAAGAACTGCTTCATTTCTGTTCAGTTTTTTAGTACACACAATAACTTGGAGTATATATGCATACACTTTAACGTAAGCATAATCAAAATATCAAGATGTTCATTTTAGGTTTGTTCAAAAATTTGCCAAAACTTCTGTACGGTGCTCCGGTGCAATCCTATGACCGGTATCTGCCCCATCAAAAATTTTGCGCATGCTGTATTGCATTATAGGGTAATTTGACTAGTGATCACATGTGAAAGCCTTCTACACAATGCTTGGCTGCAATTTGAAAATCAATGTCTCATCAAGAAGCGTCAGATGAATTTTGTAGATGTTAAATGATATTTAAACTAGCAGCGAAGTGCAGAAACCTTCAACACAGCACTGATCTGCAGTCAGAATCCAGCTTAGAAGCCATTTGTAGTGCTCTCTCTAGCATGTTCAAATAAAGTTATCAAACACTTGAATGATCTACTTGGTTGGATTTAAAATACCAGTGTGACTGACTTTTTAGAGGCACTTGTATCAGAATAATGTTCAATTTCTCTCATTATAGGGATGCACTCAGGGGGTGGTGAGATTCGTTTACGTTGGCACACTTATTGTGATAGTACTGTTTGAATGCTTTCATTTTGCATATATGTACACCACTCGTGCAGTTGCTTCACACTGGGCTGCCGTATTTGAAAATAAATATACCATCCGAAAGTGTACCACGCTGCGCTCGGTTCCAATCTGATCACTAATATCTGTTGCATCATGAAGTGTCGGGTGTGTTTTATTGCATTGGAGAACATTTTGGGTGCCTTCCATAGAGGGTTCAGTTCCAGTATTATGACCGATATCAGTGACTTAATGAAGTGTTGGGTGTGGTTTGTCGTTTTAGAGAATACTTTAACTACAAACAACGTCCAGAAGACTTC